TACTTACTTACTTACTTACTTAGTTAGTTACTGGCTTACTTGCTTACTTACTTACACGCAGATGCACATACATACACATACACACACACACACACATCATGCATGCATTCACACTTACATGCATTATTAATGTTTGCATATGTACAGTCATTCATTTATTCACTCACTCAGTCCTTCCTTCCTTCCTTCCTTGCTTCCTTCCTGCCTTCCTGCATGCTTTGATACATGCATGCATAACCATCTTACATCGTTGCTTATGCGTATACACACACACAGAGACAAACGCAAACAAAGACACAGAGACGGACTGACATATGTATACACACACACATATGTATATATATATATATATATATATATTTATACATACACACACACACACCCCTTCAATCGGCATACATAACACACTTGTTCATAATGATGCTTAGGCATATCTGATGGCATAGCCTGCATTGCTTAACTTCGTGCTCATGTGCAGACGCCCGTGCAATGCACAGGTATGCCTGTGCAAGCGAACAACATACAAATCAATCATAACCGCGCTCCGTATGCAACACCGTAGCTAGAGGCACAAAAGAAAATCTGCTATTGACTATATAACTACATGGGTCAAAATTATGGTTCCTTTTGGGGTACCCTAAATAATAAGTGTCGTATTATAATAAGGACCCAAAAAGGGACCATAATTTTGACAACCACCCACATGCCCAAGAACACCCTCCACCAGAGCGTGCCTGCAGTGCTTGGCACGAGAGGTGCATCTGGAGGCTGGGCAGCTGGCTGAGCTGGCTGTGCTTCGTCTGTCCTCGAACTGGAGTCAGAAGGTGGTGGACTCGCTGGGGCCGGGAGCGGAGGTTCCGGCTGATCTGCAGATGCAGGAGGCGCTGACGGCTCTGACTTTGCCTGAGTCTCCACCTTCTCGGGCGGGGGCGCGACGAAAAACGAAGAAAAGCGACCCCACCACGACTGCGAAGTCTCCTTTCGGCTCTTTGTCTGGCCTCCCGTGTCAGCCGGTGCGGGAGCCTTGCTTCCCGAAGGCGGAACGGCAGGATGAGGCGCAGGCTGTTCTGCAGCTGGCGGAGGACTACTTGAAGCTGCTGCTTGAGGCTTCGGTTCTCGCTGCTCTTCTTGCCCCCTGTCAGTCTCTTTGTGGGGCTTGGGTTCTGGCTCCTCCACTTGCCCCCTGTCCGGCTCTTTGTGAGGCTTGGGTTCTAACTCCTCCACTTGCCCTCTGTTCGGCTTGGATTCTGGCTCCTCCACTCGCCCCCTGTCCGGCTCTTTGTGGGGCTTGGGTTCTGCCTCCTCCACTTGCCCCTTGTCCAGCTCTTTGTGAGGCTTGGGTTCTGGCTCCTCCACTTGCCCTCCATGAGGCTCTTTGTGAGGCTTGGGTTGTGGGTCCTCCACTTGCCCTCCATGAGGCTCTTTGTGAGGCTTGGGTTGTGGCTCCTCCGTTTGCCCTCTATCCGGCTCTTTGTGGGGCTTACGTTCTGGCTCCACCGCCTCGACCTCTTCCAGCTCTTCCGGAACACTTTCCACAGGTTTGGCCATGAGAAACAAAGTTCCCTAGCACACTGTCGTCCACAGTACCAGCTTGGGACAGAGCCCACGCTCAAGCCCAGAAGCGGTGCAGCTGCAGCCGGTTCAGGCTGGGAACGAATCCGTGTCCCACGGAGAAACTACCCATGCAGGCTTTGCTGCTTCCAGATTCCCCTCATGCCAAGAGACCTGATAAGCCAGAAGCTTTCAGTTGTCTATTGTAGCTTATCTGACCAAATGCACGCCATGACTGTTCCGTGGCCCGTCTGCATTTTCGTGGTTGTTTTGTCAGTATTTCGACTTTCGATCCTTTACATGTGAGGCAGGCTATTGGACAACTGGATTCAGCTAGATACAGCTGGCGCATACAAGGCTACCCCTGAGGGTCTTCAAGGAGCTTGCCCATGACTGAGCAGGTACCTATCATGACGGAAGGCCCCAGAGAATCAGAATCCTACCCTTTTCTCGCTGTCAGGTGCAGCAGCAGTCTTGCACGTACCACCTGGGAGCAGGATGCTGTACATGTAAGGAGACCAGTAGCACAGTCTTCCTAGGAACCGTGTGGAGTGTCTAGGACTCTCGAGAGAACTCCCGAGTAAACAGCAAGGACATGCACTGTTGTACAAAAGGGCTAAACAACAGCCTGTCTCCGGAAGCTAAATGTGTTCCAAGATGGCAGGCTATTGTACCAAGCCCAAGGTGACGCTATGGACAAGTGAGGCCGAGGTCCCATGATCCAACTTTCGAGTCCTAAACCTGCGGGCTTTTAAAACCGTGTGCAAACGACCTCGGCATCAAAGCAAGATCTACGGTCATCCGGACTCAAAGCTTGCTGAGTCTGGGCAGAGTGGTGTAAGCCTGCCAATCACAAGGCTCCCAGCTCAGGGCTACGAATACTTAAAGGATCATGGGACTTAGTAAGTAGGGTTATAACTAAGGTAACTATACTTATAACCCCCATTAGGGGACTTATAACCTTACTTACTAAGCCCCATGATCCTCCAAGTATGGCTTCAGGGTTAGGGTTTAGGGTTCGGGTTGCAGGACTTCGCAGGTCTGGGGCTTTATGGGTTTAGGGTTTAGGGTTTTGGCCTCGGGTTTCTCGCTGTATGGCTTCAAACAGAGGTTCGGGGTCGGACAATTAGGAGCTTGGTCTTGGGATGATGTGTGGAAAGTCCAAACCCTCAGCAATATAAGCGTGGACCTGAAACTCGTAAAATCAACGACGACGACGACGACGACGACTACTACTGCTGCGTTCATTAGCCACGAACCTCGGACGGTAGCTGACACCTCCCAAGTGTGATCCGTTCAGGCTCCGAATAAATGGCCGGAGAGGAAGACCCCTTAGGGCACAACTCGTGTCTAGCCTCGGTCTCGGTCTCTGGGCAAATCCCTAAACCCTAAACCCTAAACACTCCCAAACCCTGGGCTCAACTGCTTGGACTGGGAAGGTTCCCGGGTTAATGCATGGACCCGAAGACATGCTGCAGTTCTGCAGGGGGCTTATGAACACTAGGGGTTCCTTCTTTAGGGGTTAGGGTTTAGGGTATCTTTCGCTTATGAACATTAGGGGTTCCTTCTTTAGGGTCTCTAGGGTTTAGCGTATCTTTCACATGGTCCAGTAATAACTAGGCTCCCCTACCTTACAAACTCCCACCATGGGGGTTTCCGAAAATAGGGGACCCTAATATAGTACCCTAAATACTAGGATCCTTATTATAAGGACCCAAACCCTAAACCCTAAACCCTAAACCCTAAACCCCAAACCCTAAACCCTAAACCCTAAACCCCAAACCCCAAACCCTAAACCCTAAACCCTAACCCTAAACCCCACATCGTGCCTCAAGAGGGTCTGCCGGCCGAGCTGGCAGCGTCTGACCTTCAAAATAAAGACGCCGGCCAGACCAGCCAAATTCGTCCTCGCGTTTGGGTTTAGGGTTTAGGGTTTAGGGTTAAGGGGCTTATAAGGTATAGGGCTTAGGGCTTAGGGGCTTATAGGGTATATGGGTGCTTCACATCTTCGGAGTAGATCGGTGGTTCCGGGCTCATCAGCAACGGCTGGTCTACGAGTGCCACTCGCCAATCTGCAATCCAGCGAAATACCTATAGTCTCCATTGTAATTCCTTTTGGGGGATACCCTAATAAAAACCCTTAATAGAAAATTGGTTAAACTAAAAAAAGCAACTACAATGGATACTATAGGCAGGGTTTAGGGTTGTAAGCTGGAGGCGGATTTCAGACAAGGTTCTTATGTCAGCACCCTGCCAGCCCCTGTGCAGCAGCACGCCATCCCATGATATGTACTTCCATAATCTGTACACCCTAGACCGCACACTTTTGTCTGGCAAGCCTAAACCGTAAACCCTAAACTCATTGACTCATAAACCCTAAACCGTAAACCCTAAACTCATTGACTCATAAACCCTAAACCCTAAACCCATCTCTGTCAGTGAAAGTTAGTTAGCACATTCCAGCATCTCCTTGTGGGCCTCGTAAGCGTTGCAAAGACCCTGCAAGCAGAGTTTATGCCGCGCACCACCAGTCAAGGGAGCGAACGCCCAAAGGCTCGAAAAATGGTTTGGCTCCAGAGCTTTAGGGTTTAGGGTTTAGGGACCCTAAACCCAAAACCCTGAACCCCCCTATATTACTTGCAATACGTCGTGTTGGGAAAGAGCATCCACATGTTCAGGTCAGGCAAGGGCGTCAATTCTACCAAGCGCCTGCTGAGCAAGCAAAGGCACCGTCTAGCATGATGCATTCGGATGTACGCGTGTCAGTCTGCATGCGTCATTCCATGTCGGTGAGTGCGTGTATTTTTTCTATTTAGGCATGCATGTACTAATGCGCGTCGCTGTATTAGTGGCATCCGCTGTCCCCGCAGCCTTGATCCATTTCTTGTGAGCTTCCTCAACGGTCGCACAAAGTCTCGTGTCCTCGCTGAAGGCTCTGGTTTTCTAAAACGTCACGGGGTCCGTTCAAGTTGGCAGTTCAGGGGCCAAGCATTACTGGTTCCAGTTCGGGGTGTAGCAATATCAGCGAAACGCTCTCGAATGCTGTGATGCTGCAGGCAAGAGTCAATGGGCTCACCCAGAGCACAAGCGAGATTCTGAGGATATGGCCTGAGTATCAGGACGGAACTTGGGACTTACGACTTCGGCTTGGGAGCCCTGCTCAAAGGCCATAATGAAGGGGCCTTAATAATTAGAATAGGGTTTTGGGGCCCACTATACTATAATTGTAATAAGGAGCCCCCAACATAGTATTAGTAATTCTTTAGGCCCCTACCTTACCGACTTTGGGCAGCCTGAAGTGATGAGGTCCGGCTTCAGTGGGGTTTGAAGCTCCATACCCAGAGGCCCCATAGTAGTTCCTTTTTGGGGTTCATATTTCGAATCCTATAAGGGAATCCCCAAAAGGAACTACTACGGGGCCTATGGGTATACTTGAATGCCTCTGCAATGAAGCCATTTCAAACCCTGCTCTGGCACTCTGAAGTGCACCTGTTGGGCGAGCGTGAACAAGTGTTAGCAGCGGCTCTGCAGCAGTGAACAGCACCAAAACAATCCCAAAGGGTCCAAGTTATGGTAGAGTATATACTTTTGGGGCCCAAATACCTACAAAGTAGCTACCATACTAATACTTGGACCCTTTGGGAATGGAAGGCCTTCGGCACAAAGCAATAGAACCATCATCAACACTCGCGTAAGTACGATACGGCCAGAGTCCAGAGAACAAGCCGCAGTCGCACCGACACTTGGGCTCATGATCCTACGACCACAACTAAACTTATACTGCTTATATACCCCTAAACCCTAAACCCTAAACCCTAAACCCTAAAATACTCCTGCACCGCAGCCCCAGACAAAGAAGGGCCGAGGAACAGAAGCGTGCCCCATCGTCCATGGAAAAGAGTGATGGAGGTCTTTAGCCTGCTTCCATTTCAGATGCTTTGTAGGAGTTGTTAAGCTTACAGAGTTGATATGGTTGAGACAGGAGTTGTAAAGCTTACAGAGTTGATATGGTTAAGACATTAGGTTTACAATCTTTGTGGTCAGGGTTCTTAATGGGGTGTATAAGGCTTATAAGGTGTGAGGAGGAAGGAGTTTCAGGATGTGTAGACTTGAGCCGGGCTATAAGGCCCTTGTAGCTTACGGGTCATAGAAGATCCACAGGGGTTTGGCCCTGAAGGGGCTGTAGGGCTTGTAGGACTTTGGGATGAAATGCTGAAGCGGGAAAGGCGTCTAAGGCGAGGGCTATTTTCGGCTACGCAAAAACGTTGGATTCCAGGAACAGACCTGAACAGCATCGGCTGAACGAGGGCTGTGAAGCTTATACCACGAAGGTTTTCAACATGGCTTAGGGTTTGTTCGGTGTCTAGAAGTATCTACAAGGCTTTTACGGTTTCGGGGTTTCGGTTCACGGGTATGGTACAGTACAGGGGCCGAGGGTTTTGGGCGGCGAACCTGGCAAAGAAGCCAATGGCAACGCCATGAACAGGACTTGGCAGAGCCAAGCTCCGACGCTGCAAAAGACCAAAGGCCAGATACCCTCGAAGCAAAAGACTCTCCATGATGCCCCAGGTGTGAAAAATCCTCCAGCCCTGCAACGCATCCCCGAAACCAACGCCAGGGAACATCTGACTCCAACAATCCTGCAACCATCTATTCCCAGCAGCGCTCCACAACGCGCTCTCCCAAAAAACACCCTCTCGTAAACCCGAAGCCTCCAACCCCGCACAAGCCCACCCAGCCCCCGCCGGCGGCTGATGTTCTCAAAGAGCTGTCCGAGGAATCCCTTCGCTACCTTCAGAGTTTTCTCTACATGGGGTTACTGTTGCAGGATTCAAGGGTTCAGGGATTTAGGGTTTCGGGTTCACGGTTTAGGGTTTAGGGGGGTTTTGGTTTAGGGGTGAGGGGTTTATGTCTTAGTTTAGGGAACGGGCCTTAGTTCCATTGTAGGGTCTATAGCAAGAAAATACAAAACAAAAGGTAGGCTTTTGGTGTTGGAGGTAGGAAAAGCAGGGTTTTCGGTAGTTGAAGTTAGGCTGGGGTGATTAGCATCTATGCCGTCATCATGGGCGCCCCATGGGTTTGTGAAACAGCCCCATTAATCAGAACATGTTATGTTATGTGCTGTGCTCTTTCTGTCGCAACAAGAATGATCCTTTCCTGTTCTTGATAGCAACATGAAGCCCGAGGGCCCCAAGTACGTTCGGCGCGCTACACGTTTCAAAACGAATCCCCCCGAACAATGGGAGAACCTCATCTTAATCCAAGGCCCTTCACCCTAGGCCCCAAACTTGGCCCCAAACTCAACAACCTAAGACCTAAACCCTAAACCC